GGTGATTATGTTTTTCCAAATGAAATTCTTCACGTCCACATCTCGTATTTTGGCTACGGGTTCAACCTCTACCCACTTCATGAAGTAATCAGTTGCTACTAGTAGGAACTTCCTCTATCCAGTTGCCTGGGACAGTTGCCCAACCAGATCCATGCCCCACCGGGCAAACGGCCAAAGACTGGACACTGGATCTGCAGCTGTCTGGTGTATCAAAGGTGCAAACTTTTTGCACTTCTCGCACTTCCTTACATAGGCTTCAGCGTCCTTCTGCAAATAATGCCACCAGTATCCCTAAGATATGGCCATGTGGGCAAGTGATCTACTCTCAGCATGTTTTCCATACACTCCCTCATGGATCTTGTACAGAAAATCCTCTACTTGGGATGGGTGCACACATCGCAGAAGGGGTCCCGTGAAGGATCTCCCGTACAGATGGCCTTCTGCTGACAGGCAAAATCTGGCCGACTTCAATCTGATCTTATGCGCTTTCTTTCTATCTTCTGGCAGTCTATTATCTCTGAGGAATACCACTATAGCGTCCATTCAGCTTAGGCTCATCTCCACATACATTGCTTCATACTCTGTTATCATAGGCTTTATACTTGGGCCTGATAGATAATCCACCATTATTATCCTTGCCTCACTTGTCTTTATCGCACTAACGAGGTTAGCCAGGGCATCGACATGGTTGTTATCATCTCGGCTAACCTGCTGCAGCCGGCAACTTTGGAAACGTGTTAACAACTTGACAACCTCCTTGGCATACGCTTTCATCCTTTCATTTCGGGTTATGTACTCATCTGTTGCTTGATTTACAATGAGCTGGGAGTTTGTCACGACCCAAACACGCCCCTATGGGTTTAGCGCTGTAACCGGCCAATAATCTTTGGATTACCAAAGGCCTCTAAACAGAATAACTTATAATTAGGGGCTGCAGAAGCAAATATAGAAACATACATAATCCATTGAGTTGTGGAGACATATATGGGACAAAAAATTTTTAAACTTTATACACATATACATGACATCATAATGCAATAGTCTTCGTCACATTCATTACAGATATAGCCAAAAAGGACTTAGCCTAATATACAGATAACAAAAAACTTGTTCTATACCCAAAAGAAGACAAGGTCTTAAACACAAGCCATTTAAACTTGACTCGCTCATAAAAGGGAACCTCCTCAGAGGCACAACGGCTGGCTGACAAAACTAATACGCCAGGTCCTCAATTCTAAGCCTGGTTACGCGCCTGGTCACCTACATACATAATATAATTACAGTGAGCTGGTGCCCAATGAATAATAACAAAGTAAAGGTTTTAATGAATGATGACCGTAACAGATTTAGATTTCAAATCTCTTATCAAAACAGAAACATAGTCATGATCGTATTCGTATTAGAAACAGAGTCATATTCATATTTATATTTATATTCAAATCATGTGTGGTACTTCCTTTAGCGTAACATATCATGTTGGTCAAGCATATCAAGTTCCATAATGGAATCTCCGGTACCGGGTAACATATTCCGTACATGGGCCACAGTATTATTCCCCCAAGCAAGGGCCTGACCACGGTATTATTTTCCCGGGTAAGGGCCTCATGACCATAAGCCACAGTATTATTCCCTTGGGCGAGGGCCTCCGCTAAGGATACCACAAAGACATTTCAAAGAATTGAATCATCATTCATGTAATCACAAAATAACCTTTTGCATCATTCAGAAACAGTTCATATCATATCATAATGCTCATAAGGTATTTCATATCGAACATAACTTTACTAAGTTATTACTCACAGATAGCTTCACAGATAGCTTGGTAGCAGACCAATGGCTCAACCGCTCATGGTGTGTGATCTACATCAACATAATAGATACATATGCTGAAACACACGCTTGGATTGATCATAACTCATTTCATTTCGTTCTTAGTGTGTTTCTAGCCTATTCTCTCATTATTGTGTCTTAATCTCGGCCTAGGAATGCCTAAGATGTAATGAGAATGCCAAAAATGCACCTGAAAACACTTAACCAAATTTGCTGAAAATAGGGGTCCCGCTTGAACGCAACTTACTTCGCTCGAGCGGACATGTGAGGGGCCGCTCGAGCGCAACTTCCTTCGCTCGAGCAATCTGCAAACTTTGAAAAGTACTGGTTATGTGATTTTCACGCTCGACGGTTGCTTAAGCAAGAGACTCAAGTCCTCACTCGAGCACAACTCTTGTTGCTCGAGCAGTCTGCAAAAACATGAAACTTCTGGGAGCTTGCATTTCACGCTCGAGCGGACTTTTAGTCGCTTAAGCGGAGATGCAAAAAAAAAGGTGGCCGCTCGAGTGCAGGATCTGTCGCTCGAGCGGAGAGGTCGAATTCTAGAATTTCCAGATTCACCTCCAAGCTTCCAAACTTAAATTCAAAGCTACAAAACTCATCCTATTGGGCCAAACACTTGAGAAAACACATCTAAACTTGGAAAATATTGAGAATTCAAGATCATTTCATGAAATCAAAGCCCAAAAGCATGCCAAATGCTCAAAACTAAGCTCAATTCTTTGAAAAACATAACATGCATGTGTCTTGACTGCAAAACTTCCAAAACATGATCAATTGAGATGAAATGATATTAATCAAGATAAATTCTAAAAATAAAGGTAAGATGGACACATGCATGAGAGAATTCTTTGAAATCAAACTCAACTTGTGCTCAAATGGACATACATGCATGGTATGATCTATGTTTCTTCATTCTAGCTCACTTCTTATAATAATCCACCCAATACACTTGTATTCATGAATTTACCAACTCAAGAACAAGACCAAAGGCTTGAATTCTTACCTTAGCCTCTCAACTGTGCTTTAGATGGTTAATTATTTGAGTTTTCAAGCCAAAAGCTTCAAAGTCTTCTACCTTCTACAATCCTTGAGTTTGAATTCAATTCTCCTTATTCTCTCTCTCTCTCACCCACATTTTGGGCTCATAAGGATGAAGATGGGATGTGTCTTAAGTGGTATAAAGGCCTTATGTAGGCTTACTTAGTGGTCTTTAATTGGGTTACTGATTAAGCTAATCAATCGGACATTAATTATTTTAATTTAATCATTCCAAATTGATTTTTAATTAAACATATCTTAAAATTCTAAAAATCCTAAATAACACATGTATCAAGTCAACTTCGTAATCAGATACCGATAAGGCCTTCAATTCGCAAAACGAAACAGAAACGGAAACAGATGTTTCTACGATAAACAGATATAAGCACAATAATGTAACACATACATGCAATTAATTCATAATTTCACCTTAATTACTGTTTAGGCTTATTTAACCATGAATTAACGTTAATCAGAGGTCGAGGTTGTTACAGAGTTACAGAAGACTGCCACCTCATCAGCTTCCACAGTTGTTGCCAGTTTCAGTCCAACAATTAGTACTTCGTACTTTGCTTTGTTGTTTGAGGCCTTGAACCCCAAATGCATAGACTGTTCTATCATTCGCCCATCTGGCGATACCAAAACCACTTCTGCCCCTGCTCCTTGTTGGTTTGAGCTACCATCGACAAAGAGGCGAAAAAAGTCGCCGATGTAAATATCGTAGGGTTTTAGCCTTTCTTCTTCCTTCTTTTGTTCTGTCGACCTGGGGTTCTACGGCCCCTGTTGGTTTTCCTCTTCCTCTCCTGGACATCCTAGGTCGCGGCTCACTGGTGCCCGCTTTGGGATTGCACTTGGAGAGAATTCTGCCACAACGTCGACTGAAACTTGGCCCTTGATTGCTGTTCTTGGCCTGAATTCTAAGTCATACTGACCTAGAACTACAGCCCATCGAGATACTCTGCCTATTAAGTCCCCATGCTACAACAGGGACTTTAGTGGATGCTCGGGTAGCACTACAATCTTGTGGGCTTAAAAGTAATGGTTCAATTTTTTTGAGGCCACTACCAGAGCTAATGTTAACTTCTCCAGAGGCAGGTACCGGGTTTTTGCATTTGCCAGGGTTTTGCTCACATAGTACACTGCCTTCTGCTCACTTTTTTCTTCTCGGATCACCACGACACTCATGGCATGGTCCGAAACTGCCAGGTATAAGAATAATTCTTCTCTTGGTACTGGGTTCGACAACACTGGTGGGGTTGTCAAGTACTTTTTTAAGTTGGCCAAGGCGACTTCACATTCTTCTGTCCACATAAAATCTATGGCTTTCTTCAATAACTGAAAAAAATTGTTTGCATTTATCTGAACTTCGGCCAATGAACCTTTCAAGGCTGCTGCCCTGCCAATAAAAATTTGGACTAGTTTCGCTATTGTCGGGCTCTTCAGATCAAGGATAACCCTGATCTGATCTGGGCTCACTTCAATTCCCCTCCTCGTTACCAAGTATTCCAGGAACTTATCAGATCTAACTCCAAATACGTACTTCAAGAGATTAAGTTGAAGCTAATATGCTCTCAATATGTCAAAGACCTCTACCAGGTCGACCAAATGATCCCGATGTTCCTTAGTCTTGACAACCATATCGTCAATGTAGACCTCCACTGTCCTCCTAATTAGGTGTTTGAACATCTTGGTAACCAATCTTTGGTATGTTGCTCCTGCATTCTTCAGCGCAAAGGGCATTACTCTGTAGAAATAGAGTCATTTGGAGGTGATAAATGCTGTCTTTTCTTCGTCTGAGGTATACATTGCTATCTGATGATACATTCTGTATGCATCCAGAAAGCTTATCCTCTCATACCTCGATGTGGCATCCACCAGCTGATCAATCTTAGGCAGTGGAAAGCTGTCCATGGGGCAACCTTTGTTCAAGCTTGTGAAGTTCATGCAGACCCTTCACTTGCCTTTCTTCTTTTTTACCACCACCGTATTTGTCACGACCCAAACCGGCCCCAAACCTGCTCCTTAGGGTTTAGCGTCGTAACCGGCCAGTAATCCTTAAATTACCAAAGGCCTCAGTCCAAAATAGCATATAATTAGGGGCTAGAGAAAATAGATACATTAAACATATATAGTCCATTAAGTTGTGTAGATATACATGGGACCAAAATTTCAAAACTTAATATACATACACGTGACGTCATAATTATAGTAGTCTTACGTCACTCATTTATACAGATAAAGTCAAAATAAGACATAGCCCAATATACAGATAAACAGGAACTTGTTTGAAATTCAGAAAAGAAAACAAGGTTTAAAACATAGTTCACAAAACATGACCACTAGATTTATTCCGGAACCTCCTCGAGAGGCACAAAAGTTGACCGGCAAAACAGAACTCCAAACGATCATCATTATGCCTGGCCACGCGCCTAGTCACCTACATATATAAATACTACAGTGAACAGGAGCCCAGTGAATAATAACAGAGTAAAAGAGTCAATGAATGTTATCCATAATAGTTATAAAAGACAGAATTCAGTAGTTAACAGGAATGGATTCATAATCATATTTAGAAATCAAAGGTCATAACAGAAACAAATTCAGAATCATACTCATAATCAGCATTTGCAGTTAGTCATGTGTGGTAAATCCATTAGCACTAACAGAAACAGTTGAACCATAAAGGGACGGCCATGAAGGCATACAGTTGACTCACACGCACGGAGGCGGTACAGTTGATTCATGAGACGTATAGTTGGCCCATAAACGGGACGTATGCAGACAGAACTATAACAGTTGGCTCATGAGATGTATAGTTGACCCGTAATTAGGACATAACAGAACAGATAATAGATGTCATCTGAAAGTAATGATGCTACGAGTACATTTCAGAAACATTGGATAACTATTCATTCATACAGAAAATAATATTTCAGAAAACAAATCATCTTATATCATTCAGAAAATACTTATAAATTGAACATAGCTTTATAAAATTATTACTCACAGATGGCTCTAGAAGCAGACAGACAGAGCAAATAAGTCCAATAGCTTACGGCGCATGACCTACACAACTTAATAGATACACATATTGAAACACACACTCGGAAAATACTTAACTCATTACGTTTCGTTCTTAGTGTTTTTCTAAATCTTATCCTCATTATTATGTCTTAATTAGGGCTTAAGAATGCCTAAGATGCAATGAGGATGTCAAAATGTGAGTCAAAACACTTAGTCAAATTTTGTTAAAAATAGGGTCTTTGCTTGAGCATGGGTTCAAACATAAAGGTGGTAGCTCAAGCGTAACTTCGGTAGCTTGAGCGGTCTGTAAACTCTGCAAAAGTACTGGTTGTATGAATTTTTCACTTGACGGTCGCTTGAGTAGGAGACTGAGGTCATCGCTCGAACGCAACTCTAATGGCTTGAGCGGTCTGCAAAACTTGTAAACTTCTGGGAGCATAAATTTTACGCTCAAGCGGAAGTGCAAAATCAAAAGTGGTCGCTCGAGCGCAGGTTCTGTCGCTCGAGCGGAGAAGCAGAATTCTAGAATTTTCAGATTTGCTTCCAAGCTTCAAAACTCGAATTCAAGGCTACAAATCATGTTCTTTTGGGCCAAAAACTTAAGGAAACATGTGTAAACTTGTAAAACATGGTGAATTCAAAATCATTTCGCAAAATCAAAACTCACAAGCATGCCAATTGTGTAAAATCAAACTTATTAGAATGTTAAAACATCACATGAACTTAACATGCAAGCAATTTCTTGACTTCAAAGCCTTCAAAACATGATCAAATGAGGTGCTTAACTCAAAGACATGTTGAATTCTTAGAATAAGACCAAAATAAGGACATGCAAGAGGGAAGTTCTTTGAAATCAACTTCTCAATGCCATGAACTATGCATACATGCATGGTTTGAGTTGTAATTCTTTAATTTTAGCTTAATTCTCATGTCAATCCATCTCTTTCACTTGAATTCTAACATGAACTAACTTAATTACACAACTAAGGGTTTGATTTCTTACCTTAGGTGCTCAATTATGGTTTATGCAAAGATGGTTTGAGCTCACAAGTCAATTCTTTAATTTGCCTTCCAAATCTCTGCAATTCTCAAGCTTAGATGTGAAGTTCTTAGCCTCCTCTTCTCTCTCACGTCTAGTAGGCTCAAAAAGATGAAGGTGAGATGAGTCTAAGTGGTGTATAGGCCTTATATAGGCTTGCTTAGGAAAATTAATTAATTAGGCTTACCACTAATCAAATGGGCATCATTTGTTCTAATTATTTCGTTCCGAATAAAATTTTAATTAAACCTACTATAAAATTCCAAAAATTCTAAATAACACATAACATAAGTCAATTCCGTGATCGGATACCGATAAGGCTTTCAATTCGCAGAACGAAATAGAAATACAAACAGGTATTCCTATAGCAAATAGATATAAATGCAAATAACATATAAGGTACACAATTAACACATGATTTCCTCTTAATTACCTATTAGGCACCCTTAATCATGGTTTAGCAGTTAATCATAGGTTGGGGTTGTTACAGTAGTGGACAACCAGATGGGATAGTTCACTTCTCGAGTGGCTTGCACTTCAAGTAGTTTGTCTACTTCTTCTTCAACTGCTTGCACATGTATCAATGTCGGCCTCCTTGCTCTTCGAATGACTGCTTTAGCCAACTTGTCCACGTTAAGTCTGTGACTAGTGACCTCGGGGCTAATTCCCGACATCTCATAGGGTGTTTAGGCAAACACCTCGATGTTCTCTCTCCAAAAAGCCTCTAGTTCTCTTTCTTCTTTTTCGGCTAAGCCATAGCTGAGGAAAAAGAATCGCTCCTCATCTCCTTCTTGTACAAGAACCTTTTTCAAGGGTTCTTTACTCTTGTCGGCGGGTTCTTTGCAACATCATCTAAGACCTCGTGGTCTCTGCCTTCAATCTCTGCACTCTCTACTTCTCTTACATTGTAGGTGCATTTCATTGCTGCAATGGAGTAATTTTTCACCTGTACTTGGTCTCCCATTACTTCTTTAATCCCCTGTTCAGTTGAGAATCGCAACAGTTGGTGCAGCGTTGAGGGAACAACCCTCATTGCATGCAACCAAGGTCTTCCCAAAATGATATTGTATAAGGAGGGAGTATTTATCAAAGTAAATTCCGTTACTACCTTCTTGCTCCCTACCTGCACCTCTAGACTCGTGCCTCCTAGAGGCCATGTCGGTGTTCCATTGAATCCGACCATAAGGCTGTCAGATTGCTCTAAATCATCCTTGTGGCGGCCAAGCTCCTTCTAACACCAGACATACATGATGTCACAAGAGCTACCTTGGTCAATCAATATGCGCTTCACCTAACAATCTCCAATCTTTAAAGTTACCACAATGGCATCATTATAAAGATACAATACCATATCCAAGTCCACTTCAAAAAAAAAAAAATCGGTCCCTGATGTTCATTTGTTCTGGGCTTCTTTTGCTGGACCTGATATACATGCTGCAGGTGGCTTACTCTCTAGGTCTCCCCTCGAACTTCATTCTCACTGACCTTCGAGTGAATCACATTGATTACCCGAGTTCCATCTACCTGCTGTGGTGGTGGTGGTGGTGGTAGAGGTGGTGCTGCTGGTGCCTGGGCAGCCTCGTGTGCTCTTCCCTTGTCTTCGCCTCATCTACTAAGTCTCTCAGGTGTCCCTGTTTGACCAAATCCTCTAGGTATGACTTCAGAGCCCTACATCCCTGAGTCATGTGTCCATCCTCGTCATGGTAGGCACAATGCTTCCTAGTGCTCCTGCTTATGTACTCGCCAGGGACCTTCTCCGGCGCTTTGTCGTATGGCTGATTCCTGATCCTCTCTAGAGTTTTATAGATTAGAATTCTGAATACCATGCTGACTGCCTGCATAGCCCTCGTTTTTGTTTCTGCCCTATCAACGCCGGTATTCCCTCAGCCTCACTTCGGCGAGCTGTTTCTCCTTTCTTATTTTGGTGTCTTCTTTTGCTTTGGCATACTTCTCAATTCGTGCCATGACGTCTTCCATGTTCTTTGGTAGGGGTTTTGCAAGTTATTGTCGAAGTGGGCAATCATCATCGAGGCCATTCTTGAAAGAAACGACCGCCAACTCCTGGTTACAAGCCGAGATCCAGTTGTAAACCTCATAGTATCTCTTGGCATAAGCCCTAAGGCCTTCACCATCGCTAATCTTTAAAGCCAATAAGAAGTCTGCCTTCAATGGTAGTGACTTGTTGGTAACAAACTTGGCCACAAACATCTTGGCCAGGCCTTCCTAACTCTTTACACTCCCTTTCGGCAGTTTATGGAACCAATTTGATGCTATTTCCCTGAATGACGACGGGAATACTTTGCACAACGGTAGTTCGTTCCCACTCCACAAAGCCATTGAATTTAAATGTAAGCCGACATGAAAGTTCGAGTCGGACTTACCATCATAAACTTGAAATCTCGGCATGCTAAACCTCTTTGGCACTTCGAACATATCCAACTCCATTGAGAATGGCGTCTTTGGCTAGGCGTTAGATATGATCTCGGCGGTTATGTCTCTTTCTCTGGAAGTAATCTCTCAAGTCCTCATTCGTTCGTCCGGGGGCTTAGTTATCAATAGACTTCAGTCTTTTTGGCGCGTTGCTTCTGGTGTAATTGTGCGTTCTCTTGGACTTCCCTTCGTCCACTGCATCGTCAAAACAGAGGCCTTGCCCTTGGATCTGTCGAGATCCTCTGACATAGGCCCTTTTGGTCCATAGTGTCCTCTATGACTCGCCTCGTGCTGATTCTGTTCGCTCGACATCTCGTGATGACCGATATGAGTTTCCCTATCCCTTGCCATGCTATGGAACAACTGGGACTGTCTTATGTCCTCCTTTCAGGGCATCAATTTTGGTTGCTGTTGTCGGCGTGTCCTGCAATGGAAACCATGGTTGCATCACGTTGTTTTGCATCATGAAATTGACCACTGTTTGCAAGTCTGTCAACTTGTTTGCCATGCCCTTCATCTCCTCAGCCCGTCTCAAGCATTTATCCTTCCATACTTGGAGACCACTTTCATTTTAGTATTCATCTCAGCCTCCCTTCTTTGGGCCGTTGCGCCCTTTGCCGACATCATTCGCCCTAGGATTTGGTTCCTACACTTTTTCATTTCTGTTCTCTCATCTAGCGTTAGGATCCGCATGTTCCTCCTTCTCACTGTGGATGTCGACCCCAATTTTCATTTCCTGTCCGTTGTTGGCCATCTATCCTTAGTAAGTTCCTACAGACGACGCCAAATTGTGGGTGTTAATTTTTGACTACACAACCAAACAGAGAACTTTACTGAAAAGCACCGGCAGAATAGAATGAGCCAACTACTTGCCAACAAGAAGATGAGAATACCGCGGTGGTTCATCCACCCGAGGGCACTTCGACGATCAAGTTAGTTAATCTTATCTCTCACAGATATCAAAATAGTACTTAAACTAATAAGTCAAAACATACCTTCAACCCACGAGGGTGCCTCACTTTTATAACTAACAGTTACCTAGTCCCCTAGAAGTCTCACTTCGTAGGACTCAAGCTCAATGCTCATTTCGGACTCTCGGCTAGATAGGGATAAACTCCTTAAGAGCCTTATCCTTATCTAGACTGAGAGCCTTATCTGATCTAGAACTCTTGTCCCTTATCCAAATATCTCGGGATTCCGACATTACCACAAAACATCTCGGCAATGTCGTGATTACCTCGGCAAACATGACTCATCCACATGGCACCTTAGCCGACATCTTGGAGCTATCTCGGCCATGTGGCGTCATCCGCAAAATACTTCCCCACACTTGTAATAGTGAATAATGATTTCATTTACAGTATCTTTTATCATTTTTTTAGTGAACCAAGCATGAGAATGAACATTAAGATGGAATGATCGTTCCGTTCTACCTTTATTCCAATGAACCAAATACGGCCTTATTGTTATAACTCCTTTCTAGGCCCTTGCACATAAATTAAATTGACCACATAGAATAGAATGACTCCATAAAATTGATACATAGTTTTAATAGGAATTTAAGCAAATAGGTGAAGGCATTTTTGCATAATCACAACCAAAAACCAATTAGGAAATAAGTAATAGAAATAGACAAACATGTTCATACTACTGAGCAAAATAATAATAATAATAATGAAAAGAAAAAACAAACATATGCATACCAAACATAATAATCAATGGATCGAGAATTAAAATATTTTGTCGTAACACCATGGAATACCATTATTGCAAGGACAACCTAATCCATTAGTCACTATAGAGAACTAAAAGGCATGCCTCGAGCATTACCTCTCTCCATATGTCCAAACTTCTCTACTAATATCTTCTGATGCAACCATCTGCAAGATACACCCCAATTGTAAGCCCATTAGATAAACATAGCTGATTGGGAAAAAAAAAGATTCCAGAGCAAAACAATAAAAGTTTACCAGACGTAAGAAATAGGTTGCTTGCTCTGGATTTAAGGTTCATAAGAGTGGTAGACTAAGTCGACTAGCATGGGTAATGAATCTGTATATAGGGCTTTTTTTTGGTAACCAAAAAAGGGAAATCTTAGACATGGGTTTTTTTCACTGTTATCTCCCAAACTGTCAACATTTTTTTTCATTTCATCCCTGAACTATCAATTTCATCTGTTTAGACCCTAAAGTTTTTTTTTATTTCAGTTTATGTAGTCCAATTGTAAATGATTGCACAAATTGGTAACGATTAGTCTTTTGATGGTCAAAAGGTCAAACCAATTTGATGGGTGTTTGATTGTATAGTTTAAGTCGTTCAAATTTTGAATTGACCTTTTTGACCATCAAATTAGACTAATGGTTACTGACTTGTACAATTAGACCAACAGTTACTGATATGTACAATTATACCATCAAATTAGACTACCGGAAAGAATTCTCAAATGTAACTCATCCTAACTTCTCTCACAACAATTCAAACTGACTAAAGTATAGAAGACAATTATATTAGTTGCATATTAAAATCCAACTTACTTTTGGAGTAAATTATTTGTGGTTCTATGTTTGCAGTAAGGAGGAGACAGATATTATATAATTTTCAAGTACTGTCTAATGAGAAATAGCATTGCAGAGGAGTGGATAACAGATCTTCGAGCACTCACATTTGCATTCTTCTATTTCAGCTGTATTTCCAATTGGTTTATCTCCTGAAAACCCAAGAATTCAAACCAAATAGTTGCTATAAGATGAAACTGCATAGTGTTGAGAATGATGGATTTCAAAAAAATTCAAGACACAACACGTGGGGGACGTGCAAAATATATAATGTTGTATATTTATTATATGTCATGTATATGAATATTTCATTCAAAGATAATAAAAAAAAACATGACACTAATTCTTAAAGTTTAAAGAATGACAGATTAGTAGGTATAAATCTACATTATTAATCTTACATCACTGGCTTCTCCAGGTTATTTTGTTGAAACTTATAATGTGTTTTATGTGTGTTGAAGTGATGAAGATGTGTATCGCTCAAGTGTCCAAAGCATTTTGGATCTGAAAAATTAAAAAATAGTATGACACATCTGGACGTATGTTCAACACATTGGGAAGTGCCCAATCAGTGTCAATGGGTGTTTAATTAGTGTCGGTGTCCAACGTGTTGGACATTACACGCCACCTTTCTAGAAGTTCATGCTTCTAAGGCCTTCACAAATATGAACAGAAAAAGGGAACGAAAAAAAGTATTTAAAAAATTATTATTATTATTATTATTATTTGCTAGACATTCAAGTGAGTTTAATATTAGGTGATTCTATCGATAAGCGAAAACAACTATAGAAGAAAAGGAAAATGAAAGCACAAAAACAGAGGAACAAATAACATCAGAAGGGTAAACCAAAATGAAAATAAATAAATAAATGGATATGAGATAAATAACTTGAGATTAGTGAAAAGACACGAGGTTTGGCGGTAAATCTTGTAGATATCCTTACTCATTTTCATTAGTATGATTTGATCCCAGTTTGACGTAGTTGCTGTCTATTTGAATTGATGGAATATGGGAAATCTTGTGCCAATCTGGCCCGCTTTCCTTGCTACATTTTTCCTTGAGAAGGGGACACCACCTAATCTTCAAACTTTGCAATTTGGTGAGGCTTCGCATTGCTTTCATTGAAGGTAGAATCATTAGATTCTTGCATTTCCAAAGATGTAGAGCTTGGAGCGATGAAAGGTTACCCAGCCAGTCTGGCAGAGATTCCAACCCATCAAATTCCCAAATACTCAAGTCTATCAAGGCAGTGAGGTGCTGGAGTTGATCAGGCAGAGATGTGAGCTTTGACCAACCATACAAAGTTAGAGACTTTAGCGAGACGAAGAAGCGTTGTTGTACTTGATGGGTGATGTTGAAATTACTGCTACTGCAACTAGAATTGGTACAGGTAGAAGTAGTTGTAGTGCTAGTGATTGTGGGCCAAGGGAAATAATCAAGTTCCTCTGAGAAGTCACCTATCACCAATCTTGTGAGGTCAGGGGTTAGAGAGAGTAGCCACTCAGGCCAACAATTATAAGTCCTCAATATTCCACATTTTTTAATTTCCAGACTCCTGAGGGATGTGAGCCTGCAGATATCTGATGGGTCAATTACCATTAGGTTAGGGCACTCAGACACAGCTAAACGCTCAAGAGATGCAAGGTTCCCTATTCCTTTTGGCAAACAAGTCAACTTGTTGCATTTGGTGATCATAATGTCTTGAAGACGAGTGAGGCCATTGTGCTCCTCATTGATATCTAGTATAGTCGTTATATTTGGGCACTCTTTTATACATAGTGTCTCAAGGGATGCAAGGTCATGCAGCACATTTGGCACATGAGCTACACCATCACAAGAATCAATTGTCACATGTTTTAGTAAAGATCTATTATTTTTGAACATCTCTTCAAGCACAAAATTGATCTCTGAACCTGAGACCTTCCTTAAATTCAGGAAAGTGAGAGACGTTAGCTTGTTGCTCATCTTTCTTAGGGCCACATTGTTGATTTCTGCTATTGTCAATGTCTTAATGGATGGAAAGTGACTTGGAGCCATTATCAATCGGGGACACCATCCAATATTCAAGACCTTCAGGGAAGGAAACACCAAGCCAGATGACCCCGAATATGCTGCAACTGCCGCTTCACTCCATTCTATTAAGCTTGGCATATATTGTAGACTGAGTTCTCTCAGTGCTTGAAATATTGATGTCTCTCTACCACCATCATTAAGATTGTGAGGACCATAGAATTCAGTACCAACACTTTTCACATTATGCATCCCCACTATTTGAAGAACCTGTAGGAAAGGAAGGTGCCCAAGTGCGGGGATTTCTCCCAGTCTTTTGTAATACTTCAGTTCTATCTTCACCAAATTGTAAAGCAGCGATGTGTGATCTTTCACCATCATCCATGATGCAAGTTTCTCACCCCGATAGTTCTCAATCACCAAACCTTTCAAATTACTGTGAGGTTTTAGACCTTCCAACACATCCACATCATTATTAATGTCTGTGTTTTCCACTTCATCATTAGTCCAATGAAACCTTAATTCTTGAATATTTGGATTGCTTGATAAATTTGCCTTCTGCGCACCTTCCTTGCTTTTCACATGCTCAAGACCATAAATCTTTACTACTCCTCTGAGGTTGTGTAAGCATCCTAGCTCCTCAATTCCGCATCCCTTATTCTGACCCACAACGAAAAATGGCAATGTCAGGAGACAAGTCAACTGCCCTAATCCCACTGGCATCAAATTCCTGCGCTTTTCATCATCATCCATGTAAAAATGCCTCAACTTAACTAGCTTCCTAAATTCTCTTGGAAGCTTTTCCAAGAACAAGCAATACAAAATTCTCAGAGTTTGCAAATTATAGAGATTAGTGACAAAACTAGGTAACTCTTTAATGGCTGTCCTTGAGATGTCAAGATATCTTAAATGTATCATCTTGCTTATTGAACTTGGCAATTCCTTCATTTCAGATTTAACTAAATTCAAAGCACGCAAGCGTGTTTTGTCCATTGACACATCTCCAAGGAGAATACCTGATAAAAACAATGTTCGCAATTTCTGGAAACCAAATTCTGAAATTAGCGATACCTCTTCTTCACTAGAAACCAATGATAAATGTTGAACATGAGAAATATCACTCACCTCAGTGGCCTTTGAAGTCGAGCAATAATTTTTTGAGATATGTAGTGCAAAATTGTGCACGAGATCATGCATCTTGCAGCCAACAATAGTTCCATACCCATCTTTTGGAACAGCTTGCAATAAAAAATTCCACAATAGGACATCGAAATAATTGTTACCTACATCCTCCATCAACATATCACTTCCCTTAGTGGGCTGAAGGTATCCTTGGGCCATCCAAAGTTCGATTAAATTGGTTCTCTCAATAAAAAAATCCTTGGGGAAAATAGAACAATATGCAAAACATTGTCTTAATGAGGGTGACGGAAGATGATCAAAGCTTAACCTTAAGCTAGGAAAAATATCGGTTCCATTTATTTTTTGAGATGAATTCCATATTTCACTCCTTTCAATTGACAACCAGTCATGCTCATTCTTCTTTGAGTGCATCAAACCTCCCAATGTTTTTACTGCTAATGGCACACCCCCACATCTTTTTACAATCCTTTGGCCCACAACCACCAAATTTGGAGTCTCTTGTGGTCCTCCTCTTGCAAATGCTTTTTGCCTAAATATGGTCCAACTATCATCGTTTGATAGTCCTACCAAACGATGAGTACGAGACGCCTGCATGGTTGACGCTGTAAGATTTCTAAACAACCTGTATATTAGATTGAATTAATTTGAACAAAGAATACATACATCATTTATATAGAGTACCACTAATCCTAACCCTACATGAATACATTACTGAGATATATAGAAGTCTAATACACATAGGACACTGATTCCTAATCTGAGGAGAACACATATTCTCACAGACGCAACCACCTCATTACGTGTGGTGACAATAATTTTGCTTCCCTTAGAGCCACCTATCCCAAGCAAAGAGTTTCTCATGTTCTCCCATTTCTCAGGAATTTCATTCCAGACATCGTCTAGTACAAGAAGATATTTTTTCCCTTCTAGACTTTCCCGCAGCTTTTTAACTATTGCCTCCCTGTTTGACATCTCAGAAGTGGTTCCAGTAAGGGATTGAACCATCTCATTCAATAGCCTCTGAACATTGAAATCATCAGATACACAGACCCACATTCTTTCACCAAAATTTCTCACCACCCTCTCATCTTTATAAACTATCTGAACAAGGGTTGTCTTCCCAAGCCCTGCCATACCCATGATTGAGATGACTGGCAGGGCTTCTTCCTCTTCTTCATCATTATCAGAGGAAAGCAACAACATTTCTACTAGTATTGATAAATCACCATCCCTACCCACAACTTTTGAATCATCAACAAAGGGATCAGTGGGCCTAATTTCTCGAAGCTCCACAACACTAGTGTTTATGACTTCCACGGCTTTAAGTCCGATTTCATTAGCTTCTTTGTAAATTTGATCTAGCATTGTGTTGATGTTATTGACTTTGTGAAACATCTTCAGGCGAAGTGCCAGTGGATTTGAGAGGGTGAAGAAGTTGCGTACCTTGTTCGTGATTCTGTTTTTCACCTCCAACTTTCTTCGAAGAACTTCAAATGCCAACTCATCCAGCACATCCTCGGCATCAGATGCAACAGCCTTGAGATTTTTCAGCCAGTCAAGCACTGCTTCCTTTTCTATTGTTTTCCTGTCTTCAGCATCACATAGTAGAGCTTGAGCGGTTTTGAACCGCCTAGTAAGCCGTTTAAGCTCTGCCTTCAAACCCCATGCCAAACTCATCTCACTGGTAATTGAAATCAACTTTTTCAGGATTTCCTTAGCAGTAGCTACAAGGAGTGCCTCAGCAGCCATCTTTCCTTCTGTGGTGTAATGGAGACAAACGCTTCAGAAATCTCTCAGAGACCACACAATTGGCGTTGTTGACTTGCCTTTCGAGGAAAATTCCGTACCACACGTTAGGGGAAATTATTCAATATTTCGAAGTAAACGTTTGAAAAATGTTTGAGCGTCACAAAAAAATGTGATTTAAATGGTTTAAAATTGTTAAAACGATATTGTTTTATATCGTTTTACATCTAAAACGATGTTATTTTGATAATTTTGAGCCATTTGAACCACCATTTTTGTGGCCTTCTACCATTGCTCTAAACGTTTTTACTCCTTAACTAATTATTATTTTCTTTAATCACTCAATGTGATATTTCACCTACTTATATTTTTTACCAATCATAATATTATAAAATATTACAGATTTATATTCTGAAATTACTGAATTATCCATACATTGGTATTTACTATGTTTATGATATTTTATTATAGTAGTAATCTATTTTAGTTTTTGTCAATTTTAGTAAATTAAAATTTTTGGACTTGTTTAGTTTGTATCTCAAGATATAATTTTTGAAAAAAAATTTCAAACTTCCGTTTGGTTTAAAAAAAAAAATAAAATCAAAGTCACTTTATCTGTCCTACATATCAATCAATCACTTTTTTTCTTTCATCTTTTCTTCTCAGTCACTTTTTCTCGCATACACATCTATTCAATTATAACAAATATCAAATTATCCTAAACTCCAAAACTCCAAAACTATTTTCAAAATATACAACTAAACAAACCTAAAAAATTCTAGGCTCTCTCCTCAAAAAAAAAAAAAAAATTCAGAATTTTTCACAAAACACAAATCAAACACACCCTTTGTATTTGGAATGATAGTTGAATTTTATCTCAAAACACACCCTTTTGGCAAAGGCTTTTTTTTTTTTTTACTTTTTGGACTAAAATTTAGAAAATGACAAAATAGACTAAAAATAGTCAATAAGATAAAATGTCATATCAAATCCATAATCATTTCACTTTTTCTCTCGCAAATATCACATCCAACTACAAAAAAATTCAACTGTCTTCCCAAATACAAAAATTTTAACCTACTAAAATAGTCAAAAACTAAAATAGCAACTTTTCAAACACCCACTTTGTCTTATTGACTATTTTAGTCTATTTAATATTTTTTTGTAAATTTTAGCTATAAAAAAAACTAAAAAAATCTCTTGCCAAGCCGGGCCAATATGATTTAATTATGAGTATTATTATTCAGGTTTAAAAATTAGATTTATTTTTTATATGTCAAAAAAGTGATTTGGTTGATAATTAAATATTTTCTAATTATTAATCAATCATCTTCTTGAATCTAAAAAGTAGGTCTAAAAAGTGAATTTATATATCATTTTCTTTAGTTATACATTTTCTAATACTCCTAGTTATGTCTTATTATAATATTATTTTAATTATACCTCTTTGTATTGCTTGGTTATAATTTATTTATTTTTTTACTTATGATTCGTAAAAATATTAATTATGACATTTGTAATAATTAAGTGTATAATGTCATAACTTCCATATAATTTTTTCTTTTTTGTTTTTTGAACTATAACTAACCAACCATACTAGCACAACTGCATTGTGTTGAATTACTAATATTACAGTGGTGTGACTTGGCCGGCATCATAGTCTGATGTTGAGCTAACAAATGTGCTTGAGGCATCTGCTGTATTGACATAATGCCTTAGAGTCCTCTGCCTCGTGTATCTTATCAGCCCCTCGCAAGCTTATGGGAGAAGAAAAGAGCATAAGCTTGTCTTTGAGATAATGAAACCGAGAACCAGACAATGGTTTGGTGAACAAATTAGCTAATTGATTAGACGTAGGAACATATTTGAGAACAATTTGTTTAGCAACAACTCGCCTGCGAATAAAATGACAGTCGATTTCTATATGTTTAGACCTGGAATGAAAGACTGGATTGGAAGCAAGAGCCATAGCCGATAAGTTGTCACCATAAAATTGGAATAGAAGGAGTAGGAAGTGAAAAATCCTTAAGCAACTGTTGAAGCCAACTGAGTTCAGCAGCAGTATTGGCTAAGGATCTGTATTCAACCTCTATGAAGAAACAAGAGACCGCAGGCTGCTTTTTGGCAGACTAAGAAATCAGATTTGGGCTTAAAAAGATACAGTATCTTGAGGTAGAACGTCTGTCCAAAGCATCGCCTACCCAATTTGAGTCAGAAAATGCATGAAAGGTGAACGGACCAGGAGTGAAACTCAATCCATGAGAAACAGTCCCTTTAACATAACGAAGAAGACGTTTAATATTCTGAAAATGGGCATTGGTAGGAGCATGCATATGTTGGCATGCTTAATTAACAGCCATAGACAAATCTGACCTAGTAATGCTAAGATATTGAAGACCTCCAACTAAACTGCAATAGAGGGAAGGTTGAGAAAAAGAAATATCATCTGAAGGAGAGACAGATGACTTCATAGCCAATGGAGTAGAACAAGGCTTGCAGTCCACCATACCAGCTTTAAGAAAAAGATCAATAACATACTTTTGTTGACACAGAAAGTAACCAGAATCTTGAGCAATGATACTAATGCCCATAAAATAGGATAAAGACCCAAGTTCTTTCATAGAAAATGCCAAGTGCATCTGCTGAAGAAACTGAGTAAGAATAACAGAATCACTATCAGTCAAGAGTATGTCATCAACATACACAACCAGTAGAGTAAGACTGGTGGGAGTCTGTAACAACCCTGACTCAAGATTAATGATAATCCATGATTTAATATGCCTAATAAGTTATTAAGATCATATTTTGAATTAATTACATATGTGGTGCATTATTTATGTTTTATCTGTTCATTGTAGGAGTATCTGTTTGAAATTTCTGTTACCTTTTGTGAATCAAAGGCGTTATCGGCATCTGATCACGAAATTGATTTGGTATATGTGTTATGTGGAAATTATAGAATTTTATGGTAGGTTTAATTACAATTCGATCCGGAACGATTAAATTAGAATAATTAATGCTACTTAGTTTAGCTTAGGCCAATTAATTAAATGCCACTAAATGGGCTTATACAAGACCACTTTTATTTCTCTTATACGTATTTTTGACACTCTTATTTCCCATCTTAAAGCTCCAACCGTGAGAGGAAGAGAGAATTAGAGAGTGAGAGTTGATCTCAAGAAGCAAATGGAAGAATTCCTAGGAGATTTAGTGAATTGCCCAAGATTTTGCTTAAGTGGAACTCAATTGAGTAGCCTAGGTAAGAGCTCAGCCTTTCAACCTTGAAGTAGAGTTAATTCACCCATGAATTTAGGTGAATTGAGCTAGGAGATGTAAGAACCAAGCTTAAGAAGTAGGAAGGAAGACCAATTCATACATGCATGTACATTTCATTATATTTGGAGCATGTTTACTAGGAATTCTCTCATGCATGTCATAAATTGAGCTTAGTTGTAAGAATTCATCATGTTTTACATCCTCTCATTTTCATTTGATCATGATTTGGAAACTTGAAGCTCAATCATTTCATGCATGTCATGTTTTTTGAGAGTTCATGAAGTTTAAGTTGAGTTTGCGAACAATTGGCATGCTTTTGGGCCTTAATTTCATGAATGGATCTTTAAATCATGATGTTTTGTGAATTTTTAAATGTTTTCTATAATTTTGGCCCAAGAGGATGAGTTTTGAAGTGTTTGGTTTGAGTTTGAAGCTTGGAGATCAAATCTGGAAATTCCAGAATTTGAATCTACGCTCGAGCGTAAGAGTTTACGCTCGAGCGTAAGAGTTTACGCTCGAACGAAGCACTCTTAATGCGTGCAGTTCCGCTCGAGCGTGAAATGCATGTATTCAGAAGTTCATATGTCTTACAGCACGCTCAAGCGACAGAAGTCACGCTCGAGCGAGGGCCTGAGTCTCACACTCGAGCGGAGATCGAGCGTCCGTCGAGCGTGAAAAATAAGCAACCAGTACTTTTTCAAGAGTTTACAGTCCGCTCGAGCTAAGGAAGTCATGCTCGCGCGAACCCTCACTTTTTGCATGTCCGCTCGAGCGAGGAAAGCCACGCTCGAGCGTGGACCCTGTTTTCAACAAACTTTAGAAAATGTTTTCTAGTGCAATTTTTGCATCCTCATTCCATCCTAAGCATTCCTAGGCCATGATTAAGTCACCATAATAAGAATAAAAGTAGAAACATACTAAGAACAAGTGAAATAAGTTATGTACAATTCGAACGTGTGTTTCAGGTGTGTATTTGTTATGTGTTAATGTAGGTCACGTGCCATAAACCATTTGATTAGCCTGCTCTGTCTGTCTGTACCCGAAGCCAACTGTGAGTAATAATTTAGTAAAGTTATGTTCAACTTTATTTATTTTCTATGTGATAAAATAAGATCTGTTTTTTGAAATACTATATTCTGTACAATGAATGATTGTCCAATTTCTGACATGTATTCGTGGCATCCTTAACATCATGTGATATATGTTAGCTGTTACCCGGTATCGGAGGTTCCATTATGGAACTTAATATGTCTGCAATCTGTTACCTGTATCGGAGGTTCCATCATGGGGCCCAGCATATTTATTCTCTATTACCCAGATCCGGAGGTTCCTTTATGGAACTGGTTATTCATAACCACTATATGTTCTGCATCTATTCTGTATCTATTCTGTTAGCGTTAATGGATGTACCACATATGATTAAGCATAAACTCTGATTTCTATATATGATCTGAACAATAATATGAATATGAATCTGTTATGAATCTAAATTATGATTTCTCAATCTGTATGGACATTATTCATTAAAATCCTTTACTTTGTTATTATTTACTGGGCTTCTGCTTACTATTTATATTATGTATGTAGGTGAGCAGGCGCGTGACCAGGCCTAAGCTGCTACCTGGAGTTCTGGTGTCAGCCAGCTATCGTACCTCCCGTGGAGGTTCCTTTTTGAGATCTGCACGAGCTTTTGTGTTTTGGAACTTTTATGCCTCTTAAATGTTTATGTCTGGACTGAACATGTGTTTGAAAGTTTTGTATAAATGGCTAAAGCGACGTAAGACTGATGCTTTTACAACGTCACATGTACTAGTATAAAGTTTTAAATTCTGTGCCATGTATGTTATCACAGCTTGTTGGACCACGTATATTTTGTATATTTGCTTCCGTAGCCCCTAACTATATGATATTCTGTTAAGAGGCCTTTGGTAATCCAAGGATTATTGGCCAGTTACGATGCTAAACCCATAGGGGCGGGTTTGGATTGTGACAGAGTCTTTTTAACAAACAATGAAGTATTTGACAAATTGTTATGAAACCTCTGAGAGAGAAAAAAAGTTGAAAAGGTGGAATACTAGGCTCGAGGAGCTTGTTTAAAGCCATAAAGAGTTTTCTTGAGTTTGCACACATGAGTAGGATAAGAAGGGTCCACAAATCCCTGAGGTTGAGCCATGAATAGTTCCTCTTCAAGTGAGCCATGGAGAAATGCATTGGAGATATCTAGCTGAGTAATAGGCCAGTTATAATGAAGAGCAATGCAGATGAAGATACGAAATGGTGGGCTACTTAGCAACAGGACTAAAGGTCTCATAAAAGTCTATCCCCTCATTTTGCAAGTAGCCTTTAGCTACAAGTCTGGCCTTGTACCTTGCAATACTACCATCAGAATGACGTTTAATGCGAAAAACCCATTTACAGCCTATTGCCAATTTAGAAGAAGGTAAGGAAACAAGATCCCAGGTACCCTAAACTTGAAGAGCATCATACTCCTCTTGCATAGCTTTAAACCAGACATCAGATTGAAGAGCTTTCTTGACAGTACTAAGTTCAGTAGTAAAAATCTTAGTAGAGAGATCAGAAACGGATGTAGCTTGCAAACAAACAAGAACTCTGGCCTTAGACCGAGTTGTCATAGGATGAGAATTAAGAGAGAGAGTACAGACTAGAGCTACAGGTGACTGTGAGATTGGAGCAGCATGTAGTTGGGAGATAGGTGGAAGATCAATGGTAATAGAATTGATGGGAACAGAAGTGGTACAATAGGGAATATATGGAGAACTAGAAGAAGAAAAGACAGAACTTGGTGAAACATAAGAATTAGAGAGAGTAGGAAGAGAAGAAGATAAAGAAGATAATGAAGACCAAAAGAAAGAATGAATAGAAGATGGGGAAGAAGTTGAACAAGAAAGAGATGAAGAAGATAACAAAGAAAAGGAAAAACATGACTCATTAAAGAGGACATGCTTGGAGATATAGATTTTACTAGAAATGGGTCAAGACACCTATAACCTTTGATGGTAGGATGATATCCAATGAAGACACAGGACATGGACTTTGGCTGTAGTTTATGAGAAACATATGGCGTAAGCCAAGGAAAGCATTAATAACCAAAGACCTTAAAAGAAGAGTAATCAGGCACAAAATGAAACAATGATTCAAATGGGGAAACATTGCCAAGAACAAAACTGGGTATGTTATTAATAAGAAACACAAGTGTGGCAATTGCATCAAACCATAAAGACAAAGGTAAAGAAGAATGTTGAGGAAGAGTAATGGCAGTTTCAGCAACATGTTTGTGTTTTCTTTCAGCAACACCATTATGAGCCTGTGCATAGGGACAACTAGTTTGATGAATGATGCCTTGAGAAGACAAATAAGAATCCATTCTTTTATTCACAAACTTAGACCCATTATCTATTATCAATTTTGAGTGAAGTGTGAAATTGATTTTCAGCATAGCTTTTGAAATCAAGAAACTTAGCATAAACTTCACTCTTGTGAAGTAAAGGATATATCCAAGTAAATCTAGTGTAATCATCAACAAATAAAACATAGAACCAAAATTTGGCCTTCTCAGTAACAAATGGTCCCCATACATCACTATGAACTAAAGCAAAAGGAGAATTCACAGAAGAATTGGACAATTTGAAAGGCAATCTATGTATTTTGGACATATTACAATCAATGCAAGGCATAGCTTTATTTTTCCCAGAAGAAGAAATAGGTAATGAGGAGCTAAACATTGAAATTTTTCATGAGAAATGTGTCCGAGCCTTTAGCAGATTAGAAGTAGAAAAGCAGGATTGATAAGCATGTGGTGAACAATGAGAAGAAAAACCACTGAACTGATAGAGACTATTGTTATTAACTCCTTTATGTAGAACCTGTTTCCTGACTTTGTCCTAAAGCACAAAATAATGGGCATCAAAAATAACAATGCAATTGTGATCTTTGGTCAATTGGTGCATAGAGAGAAGATTAGAGGAAATGAAAGGAACATGGAGAAGATTGTTAAGATGAAAAGAATAAGTGGGAGTAGGTAAAAGACCTTGTCCACTATGATGAATAGGTAAGAAAGTACCATTACCCATAGTGACTTGATCATGTCTTGGATAGGCTTGATACAGAGATAAATTTGCAAGATCATTTGTCATGTGGTTGGTGGCTGCAGAATCAATGTACCAAGGCACTCTTGATTCGTGTGAAGCTGATTCAGATGCAGGACTACGAGCTGTAGAGGCAATATAGGCTTTAGGAGGACCAGGGCTTGAGGACTGATAGGACTAGGAAGGCTGTGATGCTATAGGTTGAAAATTTGGGTCCATACGGTACCAAAGTCAAAAGCTGAATGACTGAGACCACCACAGATTTGACAGCCTTGAGATGAGGCAGATCTGCCTCTATTTCGATTGTTGAACCTTCCTCGAGATTGCATATATTTGCCTTTTTGTCCTCGATAAGAATTGCGACCTCTAGATTATGAAAAACCACCTCTTCCTGATCCAGAGTGGAAAGATTGAGAATCAAAACCAGAGTGCGGATAATGTTGATTTGATCCTTTAGCTGCCGTGTGGGCAACAATGAGATCATTACTGGTGTTGGAACCTTTTATCTTAGCCTCAATATGAACTGATTTTGAACATAATAATGAACATAGTTCATCCATAGAAATACCTTCAGATTTGGTGCGAATAGCGATAGTGAATGCATCATATTCACTAGGAAGACCATTCAAAGTCATTAAAACCAAATCCTCATCATCGACTTGTGCAGAGGCTAGTGATAATTTATCTGAATTTTTTTTGATTTTGAAGAGATATTCTTCCATTGATGAGGTTTTCTTAGAGATATTTTGAAGCTTATTTTTCAGTTGGTGAGTATGTGATCTAGACAAAGATTTACGCTTTTAAACCGTTTGAAGTCTGGAGTACACGTTTGGATCCTTTTGATCGGTGAAAAATGACATCTTTTTCACTAAAATCACATTGTTTTAGAGCCCAAAAATAAAATTCACATTAGTGTAAAATTTTAAAAATAATTACAAATTAATAATAAATTTTAGTAATATTAATAATTATAATTATAAAAAAAAAATTTCATACAAATGTGATAATTTTTTCAAGTTTTCACTAAGGTATTTTTCAAAAAAAATAAAAAAAGAAAAAGAAAAAGAGAAAGAGAACGAGTCATTCTTATCGTTTAGATAGATATAAAATAAAAAGTAATCAAGAACATAAGCCTCATGCAAACTTGCATCCCAATTGCGACTTGAATCTTGCACCAAGCTAATAGTTGGTAGTAATGAAAAATGCTATCCCACTCCACTTGTTTATAGATTTACTTGACAAATTTTAGAATGTATTAATAAATAAGTGGAGTGAAAATAACAATTCTCTTATTATTAAGCACAAAACAGAATGTTTTTCCAGTTGTAGTCATTCTTCTTTTTGTTCCACAAGATTCATAACAACCAGTCTAAAAGAAACATCATTCACATATTTTACATGGAAAGGAACTGTTCCAGCTCCTAGCAAAAAAACAAAAACAAATAGTGACACTAATCTTATTTCAACTCGGTTTGTCAGTTCCAAACTCCTCTGTTATTCATAATAAAAGGCACAACATGAAGCTCCCAAAACTGTTTTTGAGTCTATAGAGAGATCCTCCAATCCGAGTCTCTGTTCTGTCCCATATTTGGTGTAACTATATGCCTCTTCTTAAATCCTGCACAACATTACATTGTTTTATATTAGAGACAAAATAGAAACTACTAGTCAAAACAACATGAATGCTGCAATCAAGTTGTTTATAAGAAGACTGAATGAAAAAATACCGACAAATACTTGCATAATCCAATTAAATGAAATAAAAAAAAGGGGGTCAATTGGTCCAATATCATCTCAATCGAATTCTAATACTAGAATTGCAGATGTAGTCAGTCATAATTCAATAGGTGAAGTCCACTTATTTATTTATTTTTATTACTTTTTAATATTTTTATTTGATTTGGATATTAGCCAGAGCTGCATGCATTTACCATCCATTCACTGATCAATATGACTTACAATGATAACAAACCCACTCTTTGCTGCTATATTGACCAATTTCAGCATATGTAACTTCATTTGGTTTTTTGTGCCTTACCAATAATTTATTGTATAAAAAGACCTAGCAGCTGTGGTGGTCATAGTCTAATTCAGAAATTTATTTATGCAGTTTACTTTGGTAGTTATTAACTCTTTGTATTGCAAGTGCACTAGATTCTAGCAGGAATAAAAATAGTCACAGAAAATGATTTTTATAAATTACCAATCCTAACATCCAAATACCCTTTTTACACTAAAGCGAAAGGATAACTAGCAAAAACAAAGAATTGTTCAACACACACATCTACAGCCTCAACATTCTCCATTTGTGAAAAATAAGTCTAGTATCTTTGTGCAGGCATGCCATATTTGTGTGTTTGGAAGACCAAAAAAGAATTTAGTTTATTTGACAATAAGATACTCGGTAAGAGACACATACCAAGGGAGCTTAAAGGTGTCTTTCCACCCTCCATGTTTAGAGCAGTTTGCAACAATTCTGTCTAACCGTATAATGATCTCAGAAAAAGTTGGTCTGATGACGGGTCCTTGATCCCAACATTCTTCAATCAACCTATGCATGAAGGAAAGTCAACGCAAAAACATTACATGTTTCCTTTAACTTACAATTCATATGACTATAAAGCTATGAAAAACTGCATACCAACACCGAAAAAGAAAAAGAACAAGAACATACAATCTAGTTATAGTAACAAATTGATTTACAACTCTCAACCATTTCATTTACCCAAGTAAGGGGGAAAAGGAAACAAAAAGACCATCCCAATTATTCATATTTCATTTTCTTCTTCCCCCCGGCCATCCTATCCTCTGATGAAGAAGATCAATTTCCTTGAACGGATAGTTCATAAATTGAGTGGGGCAAGTGCCAACTGAGTACCTAACGTTATCTTTCTATGTGGAAAAACTTCAAGAAAAGGTCCATATTTGTAGGAGGTTGACTTCCACCTCGGCCCCAAATTTTATTCATTTCTTTCAGAAAGGTAGAAATCATGGATTTTTAATAAATCTTTTGTCATTACTAAAATCTAAAGCCCCAATAATTACGAATGCCAAGTAAGCAATCCTTTCATGTACAATTTCACTTTCATGTGCGGATCTTGTTATGAGGTTAAGTAACTTCTTTACAAACTAGCAAAACAAACTTGTTAAAACTGTAAATCTTAGTGCCACTTTCATATGTTAAAAAAAACTACAAAATAGAACAGCTTGAAACTACAGCAAATTTGGCAACTTTCTCTCAGGAAATCAACTTACTCTTTCAGATCCGGAGGATAATGTTTAGATTTATTCTTGAATATTGGTCTGTTTCCTTCCAAACACATCAATTTAGCAGCATCTTCTGCAGACCTGGGGTGCAATGGTTGGACTCCTTCGAGAATCTGAACCCAATGGGAAAAGAAATGCACAGGAAGAAACAACTAGTTAACCAATTTGTTCTCAACAGAAATATGTGATTAAATGCCAGTATGCAGTATTCAGGGAAAGAATTCACAAACTGCCAAGATCCCAATAGAGGTTGGGGAAACTTCATAAAGAATAATAATATTTCAAGCTCAACTGCAAGTCCAGGTCAATGTGTGTATGTTAGATAGTGTAGCAGTAACATATAAATACTATAATAACATGGGAGTGTCATAATTTCGAGAAGATAAACTACATTCACTGTTGCAAGCATTCAGAAATAAGAAATATTAGGCAACTATTTATGTATGGAAGGAACAAAAGAAAAGAAATATACCTCATAAAGAATAAGACCGAAAGAGTATACATCCACACTTCTGTCAAATATTTCATCTTTATAAACCTCAGGTGCCATGTATAAATCTAAAACAAGAATGAGAAATCAGTAACTATACACACTTTAAGAGTTGCAAAGCAATTGAAACCCAAGGTTTCTTCCAGCCTACTGTACAGTAAAAAATTACACTTTTCACTTATAATATACAGTATAGTGTACAATTCTTACATAAGCTTACCTCCTTAATATGATGTCTTACTTCTATGTATTGTTGAAAAAGGATCATAGTGATTGCATTACTTACTCAAATGTAAGGACCATACTAAAAGTTTACAATGACAAGCCAATCAATCAGATTTATCAAATTCCCAAAAATGCAAATTTCCAAAGAGAAACAAGAAACAATAATTCAACAAATATTTAACAACCCTCAATTTCATAACTTTCACATTTGAATATTGATGCCCCAAAACTAACATTAGCAAATGCTAGATCAAACAATGGCTCCGCCTAAACAAAACAATTTGTTCAAGTGCCAATATCATCATTTTCACTGATCTACAGACTCTCTCTCTCTCTCTCTCTCTCTCTCTCTCTCTCTCTCTCTCACACACACACACACAAACAGAGATTTGGACATTTCTTTAAGTTGACAGTTTTGATAACAATGCCTAAAGGCAAGATTTGGTCCAGAGAGAAAGTCTATTTAGACAAAAAAAGTCTAGAAGCTGTTGTATGAGGGACATCCGGTGTGACATAGGTAAATAGATTATGAAGTGCATGAGAACTTACTTGAACGATCAATTTGAGCCTCTGGCTGCAATAGTTTTGCCTTGTCTGGTGATATTTTAGACAATCTTATCAAACCAAATCCAACTACCTTCAACTGACCTCCAGTGTCCAGCAAAATATTTCTGGCACCTTACCAAAATTTCAAATATTAAAAACAGCCCATAATTCTGAAGGAAAAAAAAAAACCTTGAATTCACAAATGTACACATCAGAATCAACTCTTGCATTTAGTTGCCATACTTGGGCTTTAAATCACAGTGGATAATTGCGTCTGGTTTACATTCATGAAGATAATTCATGCCCCTGTTAACAAGAATCAAGCAAAGACGTCACAATATAAACAAGATGGAAACTTAAAAAAAAAAAATATGTTCAGATGGAATAACAAACATTTCAATAAGTTTTATATGTGAATTATAGAAACTGAAAGGAGCAAAAGGGCAAATACACGTGCGCCGAAAAAGGAAGAAAGAAAGAAAGATTATAATTAAATAAGCAGAAGCATAGAAAAACATTAATTCTAAGAATGACATTCATAATACTTATGATAAATTAATTTAAGCAAAATTGCACATGCCTTGCAATATCAAGAGCATATCTTAGAGCTTTAGATGGAGACACACGCCCTTTCTTTTGAAGATAGCTTCCTATGTCACCCTGAAAAAATCACCATCAAGGAGAGCAATGTTAAACCTGTAGGCATAAATTATATACAAATTCAATATAGTTGATGCACTTTAAACTCTTCTTCTTCTTCTTTTTTTTTTTTTTTTTTTTTTTTTTTTTTGTTGTGATAAGTATAGACATTTTATTAAAGTGCAGTAATGCACTTTTAACTATAACAATTCCCTCTTATATAGCAAATCAAACTAGCAAGGAAGAAACCATTTCAAAATAAACCCACAGTAACACTAGGACTACAGCAACATATCTAAACTTCCAGAACCTCTGCTGTGAAATGATATACATCAGTGGCGGAGGTATAGAGGGTCCAGGGGGGTCATGTGCCCCCCCTTGGGTTTTGGATTTTTTTTTTTTTACAAACATAAAGAAAATATTTTAAATAAAAAAAATTTATAAAAATATTGTTTAGAGTGAAATGTCAATAACATTTTTAAAATTATGAAAACAATAATAGTTGTTTTGATTGAAAATAAAGAAATTACGATACGTCATATTATTGTTTATGAAAATTTTAATATAATGGAGATGTCTATCATTATTGACATACAAACATAATTAATTTCAATAAAGATATGAGATTCATTGGATTGTTAGTTACATTTGATTGACATACGGGGTTCATCCTCTATGTGTTTCTTCACTATTGATTAGTGATATCACATGTCAATGATGGCGTGGTATTACTATTATATTAAATTTTTACTCAAATTTTGTATAAAAAATTATTTTATCATTATATAATTTATTTTAAAACTTACATGCATGATTGTTTTTTTTTTTTTTTAATCTTGTCTTTCTTAAAGTCAATCATAAAAATTTATGTGAAATATTTTTGTATAAATTTTTAATGTACTAATTGATAAGTGCCCATCGGATTTAATTTCTTGATTCCGCCACTGATATACATAATAGCTTCTTCTGCCACACAGATAGGATTAGGGGAGATTTTATTAGTCTCGGGCATCCCATCACAAGACTAATTATAAATTGTGTCTTGACTCTGGCCTCATCTGGTGTTTGACCAGCAAAGGAGGAGACAGTGGATTTTTGGAGGGCAAGTTATCCACCCCGCTTTGCCAACCCGAACACAAGATATATGGGTCCCTATGATTAATAGTCCAAATCCCCCCATTCTTATCCCTATACCAAATGCAGCCAAAAAAGATTATATATCAAATGAGATCAAAGATTGCTCTAATAATTCATCCTCAACACATCAAATAGGCATATCCTTGAGGCAAATAACATTCTGATAGTTTGGCCGCAAATTTCTTTCCAAATTGAGTACGAGATCTCCTCATTCCTCATCCTGCTCAATGTACCTTGGCCTTGGCATTAGGCTGCATTTTCTTATCTCCATAAACTTATTGATTGTAGGATTTAAAACATACATAAACCCACCCACCCACACACACACATGCTTACTTTTGGATGATACTCTGAAACAATCATCATAGGTATATTTTGGGTAACAGCTCCAACAAACTGAACCACATTAGGATGCCGAACTTTCTCTAACAAAGTTAACTCATGTTTGAAAGCATTTCTGCATAGAAACATATAAGATGCAGTGTTAGAGACATGTAATTAGCCAAATCAGTAAACCAAGCAGCAAGCAATCACTTAAAAAAAAAATTCCCATCAATGATTAGAGAGCAACTTAAAACAGCTCAAGGTTGAACTAAATGCACAAGGATGCCATAGGTCTAGGAAAGGTAAGCACTGACACTCCAAAACAGGCGCAGGTAGTGGTGTCGGACGCGAGAACGCGAGGATACATACCTTTTATTTAATTAATTAATTTGTTTTTAGGGAACACAATGACTAGTGCTTTTGATGGATGTTAGATGTTGAATATTTATTACTTTTTAAGTATCATTGCATTGTATGTTGTGTCAAATCAGGATACTTAATTTTCCAAATTGCATTGGATTTAGTTTCTTTTTCCTTATTTGAGTAATAATTCACTTTTATTTGGTTGTAGTTGCCTATACTAGACTTGTGCACAATACAGAAGTCCGCTCAAAGCCTGCCTGAATAAAAGATTGCCAAAATAGAAGCATCAGAAAAACATAAGCTGACTGATTTCCAAAAGGAATATAACTCAAGGTTTAAATGGCAACAAGGGTCTGAGGTGTGTTTTTTCCTATAGCAAATAAGGAAGTTATTAGACTGTACTTTTTCTTACCAAGAATATACTTAAAACAAAGGGGAAATAACCTGACAGTTGATGTCAGGGAAAATAATTACAAAAAGGTGAGAAACATTATAAATAATTAAAATTATAAACCTTTTCATTAATATATAATTAATTGTCACTGATACCACCTGTGTGTGATTGTCCCTAAAACAAATATAAATTGACAGGATAACCATTTGATTTAATGGACTCTAGCACATGTATTGTCTTCTTAAAAAAAAAAAAAAACAACAACCACAAAAGTGTGGAGAAAAGAGGTGCTTATGAATGCATACATGCTTTCAGGGTCTGAATAACTGTCTTTATCAAGTATCTTTACAGCAACTTTTGTGCCATTCCATTTAGCTACTTGATATGTCCCCTGTCAAAAGGTAAGTAGAATATCTATTAACATCCATCCATAGAGAGTTAGCTATTCAAGAACAGATCAATTTTGACAGGAAGTTTGGGGAGAGAAAATAAAAAAACACAGGCGCGCATGTGCACATGCACACACACAAACACACACAGAAAATGAATGATGCAGCCTCATTCTGATAGTAAGACAAAAATTGCAGAGCTGAAGGTTTGAAGGTATAGAAACCTTCAGCCACAATTGAAACAGAATTACAGAAAAATAAATAAATAAATAAGAATGTACAAGAAACTAAACAAGAGTTGCAGCAAACTGAGCAACTTGGATTTAACAATCTTAAGCCATCAAAAAGTGCTACCCAAATACATGGCAGAAAATTCATTACGATCAGTTTAGTACTGTTTCATGCATCAATTCAAAAGTCCACAAATATAACAGTCATATTGTGGCCTTCAAGATAATACTGAAATATATAAACATATTTCAGTGTGGCAGTGGTCAGGATTGACAAGTTCATCATTTGGGCCAGTTTGCATAAATAGCCTGTTGACATGGTTCAACAATAATGAAGTTTGGGCCACATTGGCATGTCCAATATAGACCCATCAGGTTGACAAGACTATATAGATTACAGATGGTTTTGGATTAACTCGGAAGGAATTATTGCCTCAAATTATACGTCACCAAGCTACTAAGTTAATGTGTCAAGACAAAATTCTCATCCTAATTATTGGAGATAATATCGAAGTCTATAATGGGAACCATTCCACATTTTCCGTGACAAATACTATAGTCCACAATAACAGGAATACAACTATTCTTGCTAGACCCAAGTCATATAGTTATAATAAGTTGTTTGCTCTTCACCAGGTACCACAAAGTTCCTTTTCCACTATAGGTTCTTTCTAAATGTCCGTGATTCACACAACTTAGTATAAACGCAGCATTTTCAAATGTCCTACAAAAATAAATAATGACTGTGTATGACAAATTAGAGGCCCGATGGATAATTACCAAAAATAGGAGATAAAATCCATTCACTAAGACAACTGCCTAGAGGTTCCAATACAAAACACAAGCTTTCAACATATCTATCGAAATTCAAAGTCCATACAGCAACTCAAGAAGAAAGACTCAAACATTGCAACCCTTTCAATAACTATGATTGATAACACCTCTTAACAACTTCAGATTTACACAGCTAAATATTTCGGGATTAAAAATGTTAAAAATTATAAATTAATAAAAAAAATCACAGGTTCAAACCATTTGACAAGAAAGTAATAAAAAAAATGTTGGCCCATGACATGCAAAAAAAAAAAACTAATATCAGCAGAATGTTTCCCATAAGAATTGAATGATATCTTGATGAAAAATGCACATTTAAAAGGAATGGCCCAAGTTCAGCAATCTTCCCGGGGAAAGAGCGCTATTGATTGGGGGAGAGTAGGTTTTGAATGAGGAAGCTTGAACATTTCACTACTTTTCCAGATCCAGATGAAAGGGGGGGTTGCCGAAACAGAATTACCAAGAAAACATTTTAAATCTTTGATATTGAATCATACATGAGTTCAATCAATTGCACTAATCCACTTATAACGAAGGAGATAAAGAACATACCTTTGTGATACCATCACTTTTGCGAACTTGAAGCTCTAGTGGATTGAGCTCGTACTCTGGAACTTCTCGAGGATTTGCAACAGTCATCGGTGTCTTTCTGATTTTCTATGAATATGAAAAACATTTGCATGTAAATTCACAAAATTTGAGCCTTTTCAATCTTAAACATTAATTATTTCACAAGTACCGGTATTTTGGCTCCACGGGCCTTCAAAATATTATAAACGTCTACATTTCCATAGTATTTTGCATCAGCAGCTGCCTGACAAAACAAAAACACATATAAATTGACCATATTTGGCAGATAAGCAGTACAAGTTATATATACACGGATGGGTATGGCTACAAACTTTGGGAGGAGTTGAGATCCTCACCTTGTACTCTCTCTTTACCACCCTACTTGCAATGATGAAAATACACTTAACTCGATCCAATGATTTAGATTTGGGCAGAAAAAATAAATGTAAATTTGTTTTATTATTTTTTTATTTTTAAATAGTCAAATCTAAATTATTGAATTAACCCAAAATAAATCTCCACAGTTACAAATAGAGAAGCGGGAGAGAGCTCAAGGAGGATCTCAACTCACTTTGGTAGTCCTGCGGTTATGTAGTGGCCCGTGAATTGGGAATAGAGTGAATGGATCAATAAATCATAAATAGAATCTCAGGGCTTTACTATATATAGCTAAATAGCATCTTGACAATCTATAGAAAGCAAAAGGCGGATCTTGTTTCGCTGGATATAAAATAAAGGATAAAATATGATGTGAAATTTAATCAGGATATATAATAAATTGGATATAGATATTAGATAATATATCATCTAATTCATATTTGTTGACTTGATATATAAGATTGGATATATATTATCCATATTTGTTTTAGAAAACATATTGTGAGATATAAATAAGTAATTTCCAAAATTGCACCCATAATATTATATTATATTAAATTCAAAATTTATATTATATATTATATTAAATTCAAAATTTATATTAAATTATATTATATTAAATTAAATTCAATAATATTAAATTAAATTAAATTAAATTAAATAATATTATTCCTCTTTTCCTTTTCATTTTCTGTCTTTTTCTCGGGCCATCTTTTCTGCAATAATGCCTGTGAGTGAATCCCAAAAATCACCAAGATTGGGTTCTGTAGCTTCTTCGTCTGGATCCTGTGATTCTCCTGCCAATACATTAAATGTATTGTCGTCATTATAGGGGTCAGCATGACCTTCTTCTTCTGGATCGCCATGACTGGTACTAGACTTCATACTGGTATCATCTCGGGAAAAGGACTGGATAAATTGCTCTTTCATAAAACCCATACTTTTAATAATTAATTCAGATTCTGAAAGTATTCAATAATATTTATATTATATTAAATTCAATAATATTAAATTAAATTCAATAATTATATTATATTATATTCAAAAAAATATATTAAATTATATTATGTTAGATAGACAAAAGGGTAAATTGGACTTTTTAAATCATATCCCAACCAAGGGGATATGATATAATGGGGGGTATTGGATATCCTCCACTTTTGGGGGATATACAATCTCATGGGATATATACTCTTTGAAAAAAAATTGCAAACATGGAATATGTAGATCCCACAGGATATAATATTCAATCACACCTTTATATCCTACAATCAAATCCAATCCCACCTTTTATATTCTGCAATCAAACAGGGCCTTAGGGCTTTTCATTTATATAGCAAGCCCTCACATTTTTAGAGGGATAGTGTAGGATAATCAGAATAACCTCAAATATCTTCCTCAAACGGACTGAGTGCAGAGCAAGGCCCCGTTTATTTTGGGCTATAGGGAGGGTATTGAGACTAGTAATACCAAGGTATTACTAATAGTCATGGTAATACTTATCCCCTTTTATCCCATGGTTTTCTATCCAAATAAAATAAAATAAAATAAATAATAATAATAAAGATGAAGAGACTGGACCTTAAGCTGTGTTTGGTTTATGTTTGTAGAGTAGTTTTTAAGATAAAATGTACAAAAACTTGTTTGATTTGTCTTTTTTTAAAAATGATTTTCAAAAATTGTTTTGGAAAGAGAGTTTTAAAAAAAGTGATTGATTTGATGTGTATGAGAGAAAGAATAATTTTAGAAAGTAGGTAACCAAATAAAATTTTGAATTTTTTTTAAAAAAAATTTGTTTGATTTGATTACTCTTACAAATTTGTTTGTAAAAAATTTTACTCAATATTTTTTCTGAAAAACAAACCAAACAAACCCCAAGACTCCGATTGGAGTGCTGGGTGAGTAGAAAAGAAATGAATGCGGTCTCAAATGATAAATTAAATGAAATACTATGATTGAATGAAAGGAAAAAAACAAAAAGCAAAGTATACAATTGAGATTTATTTATTTATATTTTAATAAAAAATTTAAATATTATAAAAAGTTTATAACCAATCAGCTTATTATTTTTCATAATTTCTCACAATCTATAATCCAAATAATTGTTTTTCATCATTTCTTTATTACCTTATAACCGGGAAAAATTTGGGAAAATTACCTGCCGAGATACCTTCAAAAATTAATTATAAAGTCCTGATAAAGTTTATGATTTTACTTTTTAATATTAAAAAATTTACCACTAATTTAGAAATATTTTTCTAAATATGCACATGTGAAATTACCAAAAAAAATTATAATTCTCTTTATTTAGTATCCAAATTACTCAATCCAAACAGAGAGTTAAGAATACGTAAAGCACGACTAAACAAAAACAAAATGACAAGAATGTACCGTGCTGCCCCACCGATCACGGGCATCGATATTGGCCTTTCGACTAAGCAAGAGCTTCACAACCTCTACGTGGCCTTCGCAAGCCGCAATGTGCAAAGCCGTCCGCCCATCCAAATCGATGCTATTTACATCAATGCCTTCGTCCAGCAAATCCTGAACTCCCTTCACTTCACCCCTAGACGCCATGAACAACAACTGCATCGTCGAGTCCAGGTTTTCCGGCACGGACAGCTCGTCCTGCGAGGCGTTCCGGCGATCGGATCGAGCGAGGACTGGCGTTCCAAAGCTGACCGCAGTTGTTGCGGCGCGGATCGAGAGAATTCTGCCTATTGAAGCTGAACCTACCACTCTTTCTCATCGAACCTGTCGAGAATTGGCGGGAAATCCCCCGCCTCAATTGAGCAGCCATCTCCATTCCCTCTCTCTCTCTCTCTCTCTAAAGAAAACCTAGTTTTCCAAATCAATTAGCTCAGAATTCAAAAGTTTTAATGTTTCAACAAACTACACAAGGACCGCGAGATGAATCAAAAGCCACAATATCGAAATCGGAATTCGAAATGCATATAAAATCGAATTGATTGTGTGAAAATGATGATGATGATGATGATCCAGAGGAGAGCTCGATCGAGAGCTTTACGAAGCTCTCGATTTTCGAGCGGTGACGAGGTGAAAGGTAGATAGAATTGAAAGAAAGACAGAGAGAGAAGAGAAAGGAGATATCAGAGATCCAAATGAGACGCCGAGAGAGAAAGATTTAGAGAGAGAAATCAGGGAGACAATTGGGTTGAATGAATGCAGATAAATGAAGGAATGGGTCTGAATGAAACAGCTGTTTTCTTCTTCATTTTTTTGTCGTTGTTTTTTGTCTTTGGTTTTAGGTGTTTTTGGCGTTCCACATAATTCTCCGGGAAAGCAGTTAGTATATTTTTATAGTGCACTGAAACGCGGCAAAAGTTTATCTCCTGTTAGAAATCGTACAGTTCGTTCGGTGTGGTTGGTGAGAATTATGAAGCATCTTATAACTTAGGAGTTGTTTGTGATGATTAAAATAAATTTATTTTTTTAATTTTTTTATAAAAAATATTAAAAAAATAAAGAAGTGATGCGATTTAAATATATATATATATATAGTGTATTAAAATAAGTTATCCCAAATAATCCCTTATTTTAATATAAAAATTTGTGTCAAACTGTTTACTATATCTTTTATTTATAACTTATTAAACAAAAATAAATTAAGTAAATTAAAAGAAATTGATTTTTCAACTTTTAACTTAGGCTAAGTTTGGTAACCCAAAAATAATCTATTTTTTTATCTTTTTATCTTTTTTTCATCACATCACCTCTCTATTTTTCTATACATTTTTTCATAAAAAGACAAAAAATACACTTATTTAGATCATCCAAACAACCCCTTAATATATTCTCTGTCAAACATCCCAAAACTATCCTAATGCTGCATGGGGTAGATTGGGGCATGTTTGGCGATACGATGCTGTGTATTTTATTATTCTTTTTTTTAAAAAAATAATTATTATAATTTTTTTTTTATTAATTTTGTAAAACGTAGTGTTATTTGACTTCAAAATTTAGTTATTTTGCCAATCCAATTATGTGAATAAAAAATTAAAATTACTTTTCAAATATGACAATCAATTAGAATATTTAAATAAATTTTTTCTCATATATTTTATAATTATCAACCAATCATCTCACTTGCATTAGTTTAGGAATTGAGTTTAGAAAGCATGTTTGTATATCACTTTCGTTATTAAATCTTTTAATGCAACTTCCTCTCTCTCCCTCTCTCATATCTAATCTAATCATAAATTAATTATCTCTTACATATCATTAACTTAAAAAAATGAATTTATATATTATTTTATTTTTGTAATTTATAAAATATTGTAAGAAAATATGTAAGTATTAGTATTCGAATTGGTTAGTTAGATTATCAATTCAAGAATTATATAATTAATTTTTAAAAAATTTTGAACTTAAAATCCTATCACCCCCAACTATAAAGACAAAATTAATGTAATTACAAAATTATTCAATTCTTTTGTACACTTTGTGGGATAAATAGTTTTCACTATGAAAGTAACATTATTTTTTATTGAAAAAAAAGAAGTTAATTACAACTATAAAAATAATTTGAATTTTTAAAAATCTTTCGTGAATTTATTTTTATTTTGAAGAAAAAAAAATTTGGTTTTTTATATATTAGACAAATCAAAATAAATATTTTTTTATTCCACATTTAAAAAAAATATACTCTAACAAAGCCCTCTTAAAAAAATATTGAAAACATTATGACTATTGACCACATGAGTACATGACAAAAAATGGAACCGCGGGAAATTTTTTCTATATGTCGGCCATGGAGCTAATACTGTGTTTTTATTAATTAAAATAATGGAATCTATTACTTTGATCTTATCTTTTATTGAATGGTACATCGTTTTATTTGTTAATTGTGATTTAAATTTTACATTTTAGAATTCATTTTTGAAATTGTTCTCTTTTGTTATAATTAATACACATATATTTTTTATTCTATAATAACATATCAAAGTAAAAAAGACAAATTACAAACACCCCCTCGAAATTTGGTGAAAATACAGATTCTCCCTGAGGTTTGAGAAATTACAAATTACCCCCTGAAGGTCAAATTTTCATAACAAATTAGGAGAAATTAGGGGGGAATCTGTATGAAAATAAAAACCTCAGGGGGCAATTTGTTATGAAAATATAAACCTCAGGGGGCGGGATGTAATTTCTCAAACCTCAGGGGGAGAATCTGTATTTTCACTAAACTTTGAGGGGGTGTTTGTAATTTGCCCAAGTAAAAAATGAGTGTGAAAGATATTTAATATGTGAAATTTATTATAAATTAATAGTTATATATATGAAAAATATTATATAAAATTAGTTTGTGTTATATATATGAAAAATATTATGCAAATTAGTGTTATATATTATGTTAAGACTTGACAATTAGTTAGAATATTCTTCAATATGTCAATCCGTCCAAAATCGCTTAAACTGCAATTTGCTAATTTACCAATCCGCTAATCCGTTATTTGATTTATGATTTTACTCTCAAACCGCTTGAATCACACCGTGCACACCTCTAGTTAGGGGTAAGCAGCGGATATTCCGATCTGTCACATTTTGAACGAATGCGTGATGATGAGTAGACGATTGGGGATTGATTTTTTCTAATCCGTCTAATTTTGGACAGATGGCGGATTTGAGAATTCCTTTGGTCACGACTGAACTATCAAACCGTGAGCACCCTTAATAATTTGTAAGACTGTGTTTTTAATTCGTTTAGATATTCTGTTTGTATTTTCAATTGAAAAAGAGTTTAGATATTCTATTGTGACAATAGTTAATATTTGATATTTTTGTGTAGAAAATATAAAATTTAATTTTTTCATTTTTTTTGAAAAAAAATTAAATAGTTTTTGAATAAAAAAAGTAATGAAATAGTTTTAATAATGCATGATTTTCTTATATGTATTTATTATTGGCATTTGACAATTTAGTTGATAATCTTTTAATTATTTTCAGTTGGATTATTATTAAAAAAAAAATGCTAACAAATTATTGTATTATATTCAAAATTTGTAAACGTTTAAATCGCCAAATCGATTCGCATTCATCCGCCAATCCATTCAATTCACATTCGTCAATTCGTCAGACGGATGCAGATTGATTTTTTTCAAACTGCCCATTCGATGGACGGATGACGGACTTCGGCCCATTTTGGTAACTTCGGCTTTTTCGACTTTTTAAAATCACATTATCTTTTTATTTTTTTTACATATTTTTTTAAAAAATAAAAAAATTAACTTTTAACTTACTTATCAAAACAACCCTTATTTAAAATTGTTTTATAATACAAATACATCCCTTGAAGTTTGTTTAAAATATGAATTATCCTCTGTGGTTTGAAAAATTATAAATACCTCTCTGTCAAAATTTTTTATTTAACTGAATTAATTAAAAAAGTAAAATTTCTAACTGTTCACTTATACAATAATAAAATTATCTGAATTATTAATTAAAATAAAATTTTAACATTATTAAAAAGGTTAATTAAATTGATAATTTATTAATAAAATGATTTATTTGTTATGAAATTAGAAACTTTAGATGCATAATATAATTTTTAAAACTAAAAGAAATAATTTATAATTTAAGTAAATTTTAAGGGTGTGTTTGTAATTTATCGTTTAAAATATATATCAAATAAAATATATTTAAAATAATTAATTATTGAACGTCAATAATTGTTTTCATCTTGTGAATCGGGAGGGCCACCGAAAGCCCAAACAACCAGTTAGGAGATAATGGTGGGGCCGCAAGAAGTCAACATCTGATAAGCCGGTTGGGCTGTGTATGGGATGTCCACAGAGAAAAAGTCTCCATTTTCATTATCATATAATGACTACTTTACTCGTTAGCTCCTATCATACATATAATGACTACTTTACTCGTTAGCTCCTATCATATCATATTCACAAAGACAAACCTAATGTGCGACAGTAACTAGAATTTTTGTTATTATTTTATGTCGACAGCCATATTGCATTATACTATTTATTTTTATTAATTTCTAAATATTCAATTTAAAGAGCAATTATGAATATTCAATTTGCTCGATTATTTTGCAATAAGAAAAAAAAAATTATATAGAAAAATAAAACACTTTAGTCATAAAAATAGCATTATATAGTGGTTGTAATTTTTAATATTTTTTTGTTCAAATAAAAATATGTATTAATTGAAACTAAAGAAAAATATTTTAAAATGTAGAGTATAAAGTATGTTGCAAATTGAATAAAATTTTTACAATTCCACTAGACCAATCTAAATTTGGGATAGGAGACCAATCCCAATATGAAATTAATAATCTCATGACTCACAGTCAAGAGATGTTAATCTCATTTAATTTGGTTCGTTCAAACAAACATAGCTTTGAGAGTTGAGGAGAAAAAACTTACACATCTACCTAAAACATTTTCACAAGCTGAAAATTGTAAGAAATATAAGGTGTCGTTTGGTAACACTTACGTTTTCATTTTTCTGTTTATATTTACAAAAATTTAAAAAACTCAAATAAAAACTTGTTTGGTAAAATTTTTGATTTATAAATCAGTAGTCTCAGTTTATAAATTTGGCCAAAAAATGAAAACACAAAAAATGTGTTTCCATTTTGAGTTTTCAGTTTTTTTTTTTAACCACCCAACACTAGCCACCACCCGCCACCATTTTCCACTACCGTCTTCCGCCACCACTACCCACCTGCCACCCTTTCTCACTCTTTTTTATATTTTTAAATTTTTTTAAACATTTTGTCAATTACCAAACGCGTTTGTAGTTCATGCTTTTCTAAAAACAAACAAAAAATAAACAAAAACAGTTTATAAAATTTTTGTAAATATAAACTGAAAACGTAAACGTTACCAAATACACCCTTCCAAATCTGTAGCTTTTTAAACTCTTTAAAACACTCACTCAAATTCAATGCTTACAAAGAAGAAAAAAGATACATGCCTTGTTTGGTTTGTATTTGAAAAATATGTTTTTGAGATAAAAAATATGAAAATTTATTTGGTTTGATTTTTTTCAAAAGATGTTTTGAAAAATTATTTTGAGAGAGAATTTTAGAAAAAGTAATTGATTTGATGTGTATGAGAGAGAGATTTGTTTGGAAAATTTGTAAACTAAACAAGTTTTCAAAATTTTTTTTGAGAAAATTTGTTTAGTTTGATTACTTTTGAAAACTTATTTGTAGAGAATTTTTCTCAAAATTTTTTGAAAAACACAAACCAAATAAGGCCTTAACTGGAATAAACCAACTCTTGTTACTCTTCAGTCGAAGTAAGTGTATG